CACACACACACACACACACACACACACACACACACACACACACACACGGTGAGCTTTTTCTTGTCAGGCTGGTATTCAGGATATAAGACAGTTGATTTGGGACATTTGATAAACTAAAACAATTTATCAAATGTTAAACAACTCTGTAGTGCTCTGCAGTGTTTGGTGAGTTTAGGTTTACCGATGGTCGCCTTGTCGGTCTCGATCTCAGCCAGCAGATCTCCTTCACTCAGCTTCTCTCCCACCTTCTTCTCCCAGCGCTGCACTGTTCCCATCGTCATTGTGGGAGAGAGGGCAGGAAGTGTGACCTGCAACACACACAGACACAAGCTTGAGCGACAGGAGAAATGATGTAACTGTGACCTCCCCAGTTTGAGTCTGGTCGGAGACATTAGAAAGAGCAGACTCTGACGAATTAAAGCTTCTCTGATTCGTCTGATGAAATGATACAAACACCTTTCCTACCTAAATATAATGTCTTCAACTGATGACATTTTGTTTCTATTCTCAGCAACAATGGCGACCTGACCAGCTGGATGTGACATGAGATGGAAGGTTGACACGTCACATACAGCGAGAAAAAAATGTCTTCCAACAGAAACCACCACAAAACAATAGCGAAGAGATATTTAAATAATAAGAATCTCTGGTTGAAGCTTGTGTTTTTCATCAATATAAAAAGACCGTAACAGAATAATTTAGGTAACAAAGAAATATGGAATCCCTACCGTTATATTTGATATGCTTCCTTAAAACTGATTAAATCTAGAGGCATGAAGGTCCAACCTTCTTTAGGAATTATTCAACAGAGCTAACAGCTGAATATCAACATTTTAAAGTTAGCTTTAGAGACTTGATGACACACAACACATTTTCAACATACTCTGTTAATTCAATAAACCTCACAAGACATATTCTGATAAATGCAGAGAAGATCAGAAACTCCTGCTCCAACATGCAGTAGACACAATGATCTGTCGTCACATCCAGCCCGTCACATGCTCTACACCGGACTGTACTCTGAGAACGAGCCTACCTTCATGTGTGGGGGGTAAGAGCTGCCCGGGGCTGCAGCAGCAGCAGGAGGAGCAGCAGGAGGAGGAGTGGAGGCCACCGGGGAAGGACCGGCACCGGCTGCTTGAAGAGACTCCAACGTTACGTCTTTAAAGGCTGAGATGAGGTCAGGGCTGCCGGGAAAATATACACACAAATATGAGACGTATGTTTACACGAAGCATAACCACATCTAGACTAAAGGACACTGGGTCTCATTTATAAAACAGTGCATAGGATGCACACTGCTTTCAAACTGATCATGACAATCCTAACCTGCATGTGTTTGGACAGGAAAACCCAGAGAATATTGCAGACTAATTTGAATTATTAATTATCCTATATAGTGAGGTTACCCTGGTTTCCAGCTTGTTTACATTGTCGAAGGACAAACCTGTCAACCGTGATGCAGATCACAGCTCCAATGAGGACATCTCTGGTCCCTTCAGGAACCAGGATCTTTGCCAGATAGCACTCCTCCAGTATCTCAAAACCAACAGTGGCCTTGTCAGTCTCCACCTACAAAGATAGAAACATTTTTAAAAACCGTGTAGTGACAATTTCCTACAATAATACGGGGAACACGCACACAAACGGGTCCTAACCTCAGCTATAAGTTCGCCCTCGCTGATTTTCTCTCCCTCCTTCTTTTCCCAGCGTGCTATCGTTCCCGTCTGCATGGTGGGGGACAGCGCAGGAAGCTCCACCTGAAGAACACAAAACAAAGTCCAGATGTTCAAAAATAAAGAGTCATGAAGACACACCATATAATGACCTGGGGGATAACCAAATATCAAAGAAAACCTGTATATATGTAGAAAGATTTAACAGTATCCTCACTGTGGCTTCATGATGGGGCATTGCAAAATACTGGCAGCTGTCAGGGGTTGTAATTACATCACCATCAGCTCATTCCCTTTCACAATAAATTACCCACATACAGCTGCATTTCTCCACATCTGTAATGTTTTTGGGGTAATTTCCAAGGTTGCATAACATCTGATAGCAGATAAACATAAGTGCTGTATGTAAAGACACATCATGTTGAAGAGGCGGTCCCAGGCAGATCTACATTAATTGCAATTTGTTATCAAAGTTACAGAATCAGCAGTATTATGTGCGTTATGTTTACATAACGTTACATGCTGGTGTGCTACAGACTGACAACTAAGGCGGAGTCTCAATTTGGGTCGCATTTAGTGAAAGAGGTGAGCCTGAATAACATTGAAGTGTATCTGCTGCACTAAAGACATTGAATAACGTATAGATGTGTGATAATGTAAAACACATATGACAGGACCCATGCTGAATTTACCGGATTACGGGAGCACTTTGTAACTCAAACCTGAATGCATTTAAGTCATATAAAACTGATTAAAGCCTACATGTTATATGACTCAACTACCACTGTACCCAGCTGAAATGTTGCCACCTAATGACATACAATTATATTTTGGTAACGTTACAGCTAGGAAACAGTTTGCTGAATTAAAATGTACAGTTTAAACCTCGTGCAGCATCTGTATTTAACTGTTACAGCAGTGTCAGAGTGTGCTTGGTACATCACAGGGCTACCTGACATGCTAGCTAGGGAGGTCATGCCGTTAACGTTACCTTCACGTGCGGCGGCAGGCTGTAGAAACGTTGGCCCTGATAGCTGCCTTTCAGTTGGTGACACCGCAGCAGAGTCGCCCTGTGGCTGAAGCCGGAGCCCACACACGCTGACCGGGACCCCGCTCCGCAGTGAAGCCGCTTCAGAGAACCGGTCCCGGGCACGGAGCGGGTGCTGAGCGAAGCAGGCCCGACGAGGAGGGCACGGGGACAGTGCAGCCTGGAGGACGGCCTGAGCCGCAGGATGAGACGGAGCATGTCGGAGCGGTTGAAAACACTAAAACAGAGCTGTTGAATTATGTGTTTGTCTTACACCGGCATCAGATATATCCTCTGTGTAGCCCGTACTTACTCCTCACTTTCTAATGACCTCCTCCAGTCCAAAACGCTTTACGGCTCCCCTCCTTGTCCTGCCGTAGCTTAGAAAGAGGCGTCGTAAACATGTCGTAAACCGTGTCCGTTCAAATTTCAATCACCAATGCTGAATTAAACTCTGTTGCTAGTTGAATGAGAGAATACATTTATCTATAGACCGGGCCTCAGTATTTGGGGTTATTTGACATTTTTTTGCATCTTTGGTAACTTTGGGGACTGAGCTTGACTTTCAAATGGAGTCCTGTGTGTTTGAGCTGAGTTTGTGATGACTGAACAGCTCAGTCAGGTTTCAGGGGCCGATCCATCCCAAGTGACATGAAATAGAGAATACATTTCCAAAAGTCAGCAGAGAGATGGGAGTTTTTCCATCTACTGTGAAATATTCTACAGTGATGAAAATGAAGATGCTTAGGCATTTTTATTAAAGACTTTAACTGTCTATCAATAGCCATTCATTAGTAAAACTCCACTGTCGACCTAGACACCATAAAAACGGATAATCTTTTTAAAAACAAAACTCAGGCTTTATTTAAAATGATCTGTCTTTCTAACATTCAACAACTGTATTTTTTTTTAACTGACAGTAACCATATATTATAACCATCTCACAAGCAAATTGTACATTTTACAGTACAGGCAGTTATGGCATTCAAACATGTCGATATAACAGTAGACCGATGCATATTTCAGTTGGCAAACACATTGATCCTGAATAGGAAGATAGAAGCAGAGTGAAGGAAAACATGTCAAAGGTCCATTTTGATGTCTCTCTCTCTCACTCTCTCACACACACACACACACACTCTCACACACACACACACACACGCACACACACACACACACACACACACACACACACTTCTTACATACAGTCTATGCTCACATACCATAAATAGTGGGATGGTCCACTGTTCCAGGACAAAAGTCTCATGTCTGATGTCAAATTCACAATACCGCATCTTCTTATCATATTCTAATCTCACAGGAATCTCTCTTTAGACAAACAAGAGCCATTAACTTAAAACAATGAAAGATAGACTGAAAATAATTTTACACAAATGTACAAAACAATTACATAAAGTAAACAAAACAACAGTGCTGTTCATCTGCATTTCTACATCAACGTCAAAATTCCAGCATCATTTCAATTTCACTGACAGCAGTTCAGTTTGAGCATTTCTGTTAACATCTGGTGAGCTACAGACTTACATTTAAGCCCACATCTGGATTTGGGTCCTATTTAGTGAAACTGAAGTCTTTGTTCCTTTTATTTTCAGTCCGGACATCTTCAGATGGCCGTCACCGTCCTTTTATGTTATCTTTTTATATTGTATGTAATCAACCTTGTGCAGCACCAAATCAAAATGAAGTTGTACAAAGTGTGTCAGACTTTCTTTTACCCCCCCCCCCCCCACACTTTAATACTTCTAATGTATAAGTGGTATTTGTTTCTCACCAGAAAATGTTTTTCCAAATTCTTAGATAATACTGTCTATTCAATTTATATTCACAGTTAAATTAAATGTACCTCAACTGAAAAAAAATGGTCAATACGTATTTCTAACATCTGGTAGTATTTGTTTCATAGACTTCATTGCTGAACAAGAAATGAAAAGTTAACAATTAAACATTACTTCGCACATTTTTTCTAATTCTTAAATACAGTACAAACCTCCGGTTTCAACTAGAAGGGAAACAACAACACAACTGTGGCTTTAGAAACAGTTAAATACAAAATAATGCTTCTGTCCAGTTTTGATAATACAGTAACAGCCTGGCAATAACAAGCACATGATGGAACTAGCTTTGCTTTGTAAGGCACTGAGCTTCACAGGGCGGGTAGGGCCATCAGTGGGGTTTAGTACCAGCTGATCAAATCTCTTACAGTATTTCGCTAATAATTCAAATCTCAAATCTCTCGGCTGAACAGTTGATGTGCCTCTAGGATCAGAGTGTCATGTCCTTCAGCTTGCACCTACAATGGACTAAGACACAAAAGAAAGTGCATTGTTTACCATTGAGACTCAGGAAAATGAAGATGAGCGAGGCAGAATTAGCACGGCGTTACCTTTCCTCACCGCGGTCCTCTTCTACCCACGCCACTATTTTTCCTTCCCAGCCTGGAATGATCGCTCCATCCAGGAACACCTGCACACAGACATAAAGAACATACTATCTTCATATGTGATTGCTCTTATCATATACTTATACTTACATGCCATATGCATGTTGGAATGAACACAGATCAAGGACTATGGAATTCATTCATCTTTTAGAGTGTAGCACAACACAGTCTAGTGCTAAAGTTGACTATTCGTGTCAGAGCCTTCTCTTACCTCTTCTTTCACGGTGCCAAACTCAGGATCCAGGGCTTTGAAGTGGTACCTGTAGTTTCCCTCTCGATCCACGGCTGCCTTAACATCCTTCAGAGTAACCTCCCCCAGCCTGTACGACGTGAACAGAGAGACTCACTCTTCTTGACGGCTTGTGAGTTTCATATTTTTTAGATTGTTTTATTTTCTACCTGTGGCGGACTAGCCTAAATGTATGTGTAAGGATTTAACGCATCACTGCTGGCAGGAGACAAATTCACAGCAAAAACACTTAATATAGACACACACACACACACACACACACGCACCTCTTCGGTATGTTGATCATGGAAGGTGTTGGGGATGTTCCAGTAAAATAAAGGACTTTAGTGGAGGCAGAAGAACCACTGTGAGATTGACAAACCTCTGAAATGAACAGAAACAGAGTTAGTAAAAAGCACAACTATTCTGTGTATTCGGGGAGTGCATGTTAGAAACAACTAACTTGTGCAAGGCCAGGTGTCAGAGTCTGTGTGTGGGCCTTTGCGTCTTGGAGATTTCCCCCTTCCCTGTAGTATTTGGATAAATGTTGACAGCCCTTCATGATTTTAAATCTCTACATTACTAATAAGATCTGACGGTATGAATGAATTTGACAGCGTACTCTTTCATTTGTCAGTGGTTTATGCTCGTGTTCGTACCCTGTGTGCATGCAGGACATGCAGTCTGTCGATGAGCGATACTATGCCCTGCTCCAGGGTGTCCAGCGTATGCTGCTGTGGGTCGTGGTCTCTGAAGTTGTTCCTCAGACTCCGAAGTGAATCTCTGAGCAGCTGAACTTCCTCGGCCTGCTGACAGAGAACAAACACAAAAAGCTAATTGTATTGGTGTGTGTTTAAAGCCTTACAATGCTATTTCTGTCTATGTTAAGCACATCCTGTCCCATGTTCTGTCCTACAAATACTGTATTTGAAAGCAACTGTCTTCCAGGTAATTAACATGTCATACAAATGTCTTTAACTTACTTTTCATGAAAGTTAGAATGTATGTGTCAAATTATAGTATGCAGCCTAAATACTGCAAGAGAATATAATTCAGTAGAATGTGAGTGTATAGTCGTGCGATGCTTTGTTAGCGAAATAGGAATAGGCCAAATAACTGAACAGCCGTATCAATGAAAACAATACTTACGTCTGACATCGACGGAGCTGGATTTCCAGAGTAAGAATACCCGTTGTTTTCTGTGCTGGTGGGAATCTGAGAAAAAGAAAAGGTGTGTAATGTATATCTGAATTCTTGGGTCTAAACCTCAACTGTTTATTAAGATTTTAGAGCCGAGTCAGTAAAGAAAGAGTTCTACCTGCATGCTGATTTTATGCTCCAACTCTCTTTGCAACTCACTCTGTCAAAGAGACACACAATCAGACACACACTGATATAAACCGGCTAGAGCCTAAAAGTTAAAACAAAAACACTGGCTGACATACCTGCTTTTTTTTGCTTTCTTCAAGCTTGTGTTTGAGTTGCTGCAGTAGCCTGTCCTTCTGTCCTATCTCCTTCTGCAACCCGCCAACCAAAGAGAAATGTACGGGTTTATGATTTAGCAAAAACTCAATTAACAGATGCTGAATAAGAATCAGGATTATGAACCAAAGTTACATTAGTTAAATCATGAAAAAAGAGGGATTGGAGAACCTCACCTTAAATTCTCCCCACATCTTGTTACTTTCCTCCAGCTTCCACTGCAGCTCGGCCTTTAACACATTTTCAAAGAGGAGGAAAATTTGCAATACACATCTAAAATATACAGGACCTACCGAATACAGTTTGGTAAACAATTTGCATTAAAAAGAAAATGTAATAGATAATAGATTGTGTACGTTCTGGTTGTTGAGCTCATCCTTCGTCATGCTGGCTCTGAGAAGCTCTTGCTTCATCTGCAGTATTGATGCCTCCTGAGTGCACAGTCTCTGCTGCTGGGCGTCCTGCACATTTACAAACCGACACGAAGTCCATACGTTAGCCGGCAACCAGCGTTCTATTCAACTGCGTAATGACATGAATAACTGCAGATCAGAGTCTTACCTTGACTCCCTGCAAGCTTCTCATCTCCTGCTTACAGCGCAACAATTCCCTCTAAAGCAAAACAGCAAAACAACGCCCTCTTAAGTGTGAATGTTGTCCTCACAATAGAAGAACATATCGACAGAAGAACTAATGACACAATTTACCTTTAGCTCCCGAGCCTCCTCCATGCTCTGATCCAGACGACTGTGAATGACTACCTGGAGAACGAGAGAGAGCAAAGGGATGTGTGTGAGAACCACAATGGACTGAGAAGGAAGGGAAACTGATACCCGTGTCACCTTCTCTCACACACACACACACACACACACACAGTAAAGCAACAGAAATGTGATCTGTGCTGAACACAAAGAGCTGGCAAAACACAGCAAATACGAGTGTGACACAGAGGAGTGAGAGAGTAGGGCAGAGAATGAAAATAAAGATTGAGAAAAGGGGATGAAATCTAAAGAACAAGTGGAGAGGCCCTCACTGCCAGTTGCTGATCAGCATTGCCTTGGTCCAAACTCAGAGACACATCCTGCTCATCCTCAGGCAGCGAACCACGGAGCAGCAGAGCCTTCAAAACAAAGAGGGTAGAACATGAAAAACAAAACAATCTATATATATACACGCACACAGAGGGTTACCAGAGAGTGAACACTCAATATGCATGTACCTGTAAAGCAGACACCATTTTACGTGTCTCCTGCACCTCCTGCTCCAACGTTTCACTGAGAGAACCCTCCAACGCCGTCTCCGCTACAACACAGGATGACTCCACTACACGCACACATAACACAGTGTTAGCGACACGTCTTGAGGTTTACTAATCAACCTGCCGGTGTGTGGCGGGACAGGACTCACCCCTGCTCTCCTGCTGGTGGTGGTGGGGGTCTTCCTGCGGTCCGTCCGAGTGGCTGCCGGGTGGAGTTCTTGGAGACGACAGCGGACTGACCGAGTTGAGGCTCGAGGAGGACAAAATACAGATTTATCAATTTATTCCTGAGAAGCATGGCGGGTGTGTGCATGTTAACATTTACTCACACGCCATGTAGGAATCTATGTAATCTATGCAAATCAAAGCACTTACAAACTGCACGGTGCGTATAGACACTTCATTTACTGTCTCTTGTCCCACTATAGCACTGTAGACATCTTATAGTTATGATAAAAGAAGCATAAACACACACACACACACACACACAGGAATCCACACCCACAGTGTCTGGTCTTACCATTTAATCTGTATCCCCCCCATAGTGAGCTACAAGTGGGCTAAACTCTTCATCAGATACTTCCCAAGGAGCACAAGTTCCTGCAAGTGGGACTTTTGGTGATTCTCTGCACTCTCACACACCCTGACACGGCAACCAAGGCAGCACACACTGCTTAGCATCTCTCAGAGCTAAAATATCACGATTAAAAAGAACACCACGGTGCAAAACTGGACATGTGACTGGAGAAAACAAAGGCCGAGTGTTTCTGTTTTTATATCATCTGCCTGGGGTGAGCACAGAATGTCCACGAAGCACTACACACTAAAGTCATGTGCTCTGTCAGAGAGTGGTACAAACACACAAATAAACCACAGAATGAAGTCGAATCATTCCAAAGTGTGGAAGAAAAGGTGTTGAAAATGAAAGATAACAGAGAACTTGAACTGCATTGACACATTGAACTCTACAGTATAAATAGCAACAAAGCTAAATATGTTTTCTCCCAAACACCAAATTGCAGTCTGATGTAAAAATTCATTGAACAAAAAACAACAACGTACAAATGGCAAATTTATTAGCATAATTATACTACTTGTCATTTGGCAACTAACCTGTAGCAACCTCCTTAATGAATTTAGGCCAGAATGCCAACAGGCTTTTAGTGGTTTAAGGGTTTAGTTTTATCATTTCTTGAGCCTGTCATCACAGCCCTGCGGTATAGAAAATGACACAACATGATCCAGCCCATACTGAGGGTATGAAGTATGAAAGTAGGTCCAACCTGTGAGGGTTACAGGATATTTTACAAATGCTTTTTGAAACTATACACGTGAATATAAACATGGTTTCTTATTTAAGATGTTGCATTTGAGAGCACTCAGAGGTTAGTTGTCTACTTTTCCTCTGACGGTATGATGTTCACCTGAGTCATATCTGCCTTATCGTGCTTAAAACATGCTGATGTAAAGTAAAATTACCTGCTAGGCTGGGGATTGTCCGGCTCATCCGGAGTTCCTCTTTCATACTGCTTGACCAGTGACCGAACACACACATTCTTCTCCACATCCAACCCCCAGCCACTAAGAGATGACAGACAAAGCAAAGGTTATTCATTCATAATTAAGAACTGGCAGCCAGTGTTGATAACATATGTATAGACAACAGCCGTATTTCAATAGTTGTGAGGATGTTATTTTGGCCATCTGTTTGTCCACCAGAGGACAGCAAAGACTACACACGCATCTAAGAAATGCTTGCTGTGGCAGAGAGCGTTTGGATATTACAGAAAGACATCGACAGGGATTTGTGTTTGTGTTTATGTTTATGATTGTTGTTGTCAGCATACCTCTGGAGACGTGTGACGCGTGTAGGCTGCAAGGCATCAAGTCGCGCTGACTCCAGTGCAGCAGCGGCACCTTGTACTAATGCAACAGTGGAGAGAGGGTTGTGGCTGGCAGAGCCTCTTGTCAAACTCCTCCCACTTCCAGAGGCAGCCCTGTGATTGGCTGAGGGTTTGAAGTGGGCGGCCAACGCCAGAATTATCCTCATTACAGATTTCAGATTACCATCGACAATGTCTGTGGACAGAGAGGGAACATGTGTGCTTTTTAGTAATGACCTAGACTTGTACAGAGCATTTGGTATCAACATGGGAGGCAAATATAGCAGATTTATAACACTTTTTAAAATTGCACAGATGATGCTGTGAAATAAAGTTTCACAAAGAACATGATCACTGTTTCCTTGATGCACATGGAGAGAAATGTAGGTGTAGGAACACAAGCTCTCTGAGATTTACCTCTTGCGGATATGTGAGGCATGCGTATGTGTTTGGAGGAAATGAACTGCAAGACTTGCGCCACATTCTTCCTGCTCTCCTCTTTGTTCTGTGGAGCGACATAGACCCCTTCTAGCGTTTCCCCTGCTGCCAAAGTGAATGAGATCAGAGAGAAAGAGATTAAAAAAAGGATTAAATGAAATTATGATGCACCTACAGGTTAGACATTTCCATCAGTACCAAATGATTTTGACTACATTACAGTAAAGTGTATTTACCAACTATCTCTATGAGCTGCGTGAGCACCACCCCATCCTGCAGATCATGCCTGAGGTTCGTGATCGGCTTCAGGCCTGGTTTCTTTTTCAGCTGACAGTTCACCCACGAAACATAGGCTGCCAGCTGCTGCTGCAACCCATCAATCAGACACACACAAATCCAATAAACCACAGAGGAACACACACACAATAAACCACAGAGGAACACATGCACAACGTTTGGAGTGGGGGCCAAAAAAAGGCTGAGGCCATGGCATAACAAATGAGTTCCTTTGTTTATTATGTTGGGACAGGACTAATGGGAGAGAGGGGGGGTCAGTGTATTGTCCCACTACTGGTTGTATGTTACTTTTGTTTTTAATGTGAATCATATAATTTCGTGTTCAGTCAAGAGTTGAATGGTTCAGTATTCTCTCCATTGATGTAGATTATTCCCTGTATTTCGCACGGTTAAGGTCTACTCCATCTTTACCGGTCTTGTTCAGTCACGTGACAGCCCGTCGTTCCGGGATACAACACAAAATCGCACCCCATTTTGAACACAACACAGGAAATAAACCCTACATATGATGTGTGGCTTTGTAAGAAACACACTGACGCTACTTGGTAATCGTATTTCCTGTCAACCATCCCCCCTGACGTTATTGCGAGTATTTACACCCAACTAACGTTAACCAAATTACTTTTTAGTCCTAACTAATAACTTTACAAACCAACGTTAACATTAACTAAGTTGGACAAACTGCAAAAATATTTCTACATTAGTTCAATTTTGTCACTGTGTTGTTTGGCTGTTGAACAGCAGATTAAAGTCTTTCACTTGCTGAATTATGGCTGAATAACTAACTAACTTAAGCTAATACACATCTACATTAACGTTACTAACTAGTAACTATAACACTAAACGTTACCTCGTTGAAGCCTCCGTGTAGAACCTCATCCAGCAGACTTCCTCTAGAAAGTGACGCGATCATCTTTTGACTCTAAAACCCATTCCAAGCCGCGTTAGCTCACTAGCTAGTCGGCTAGCTTCATTGACTCAGGCGACAAGAAACAACGGACAGAGCCCCGTTACTAGCTGCTGCTGTGCTCCAGCAAACGTCAACAAACCGCCGGGACAAGCGGGTGAGCGGAGGAGACGGCTACCACCGTTACTCAAGTCACCGAACCACACCGACATACGTGACTTCCGGTGGCAGGTTTCAGAATAAAATTGCAGTTAACGAACAGTAATTGTTACCTGCCGCCTGATTTTTGTGTATTCCTTTACATAAATAAAGACATTCCACCATAAATTGATGTATACAAATTCCCAAGAATACAGGAAAGGAAGTGTTTGATGCTATAAATTCCATGGGTGAGGTCTATATCATTAAATTAATGTGAAAATTGTTTCGCAGATGTTTTAATACGAATTAACACTAGATGGCAGCTAAACCCTAGTTAAGTACATGTTCTGGTACTGCAAAGTGTTTGTTTTTATCAGTGATGGCTGCGCACAAAAGTGACAGACAGTCTTTACAGTAGGCCTTAGGTATTGCCCATAACAGAAGAGTGGAATTAAGTCATTGGGATAATGTCAAGGTGTATCACATGAAGTGTCATTTAAAACTACCCACAAACATTGGATTTCATTACATTAAGTGTATTTTGCCAAGAAAATGATTATATTGTTATCCATCTGTAATAAAATAATTTCTAATATTTTTTACATACAGGTCTTACTTGATAAAGGTTCAAACATCGCTGAACCCAACACACTTTCCTGGGCTTCACTGTACAATGTAAATGTCCACAAAAACTGTTTTGATTTAACTTTTGATATTTAATATTACCATTTGTGTCTTACTCTTGAGCAGAAAATCGTGTGGCTCTTTTTAACTGTATATATAAATATATAGTTTCTCACACAATATCCGAATATCACAGTTTTTTAATTGTTTGCTAATTCATTCATGATCTATGTTAACTATCTATCTATGGGTGTTTTTTCACAGTTTGTTCTTCTATGTTGGTGAAAATTGTTTTTCATTTGACCCAAAAGTGTACTTATTAAAATATCCATGGATCCCATACATGTTCGAGGACCAGATTGCCCCGCAGTTGTCTTAGAATTGTTTATTCCCAACTCTTACAACTCTCGGCGTTCTATTCCTGTGTCTCCATTTACTGCCAATTTGCAGATAGTCTGTCAAAAAATACAATATACTTCAGTTATTAATATCAAAGTTTATTACACAATGTGTCAGGACACAAGTTGACCCACAACATTCTTGCACTTTGAAACAAAACAAACACCAGGAGCAGAAACACAGCATGTGGCCCTATATGCCCACTCCAGCATCAAGCTGCAGCTCTCAGTGAGCACAGGACTGGTAGGGAGCAGTGCCAAATGCAACTCATTAAGAGTGTCATTGTCCCCTGCCTATCTGGCTGAGCCTGGGCGGTTTGTAGAACTGGTGGTACTTGGGTTGTTCAGAGATGAAACTGGTGCTTGAGAGTCTCTCTCAATCTGGCTGGACTGGTGTGAATGCTGCCTGTAAGTGGATTGTGATGACTGTGCATAAACTGGCATTTGCATGGAGCTACAATCCAGGATTTGACCTGTGGAAACAGTCCAAGATAGATTAATGTAAGAACTGGGTGTGGAGTTTGCATGTATACACTGCCAGAAGTAATTTTCTGACAAAAGAGTACAGCTGAAACAATTAATCAACCTCCTAACCCCTAGCCCCATCCCTCGGAAAAAAACGGCTAAAATAATATACCCAAAATGAATCAGGAATATCTCCTCAATCATAAGGCATATATGCATATTTCTGGTTACCTTTGAAAGGTAAGAAGGTAAGGAATTGCATTACATTACAGTCATTTAGCAGACGCTTTTATCCAAAGTGACTTACACACATTCACATTTCCATATAGCCATGTTACAAATAACAAATATCTCCCAAAAACATTTAAAGAGGTTGGAATAGTCAATCAGAAGAAAATGAATTTGCAACAATTCTAATAATTGATTAATCTCTTAAGTCATTTTTAGCACAAAAAGTGAAATTATTCACTAGTTTCATCTTCTCGGATGTGTATATTGTTGGATTTCTTGCCTTTCTTTGAAAGTCAACTGAATTAGGATTTTGGACGATGTCATACTATTTGAAGATCTAGGCCCTGGTCACTAGTTTCTAACATTTATAGGCGAAACAATTAATCACTGGGTCAACAAATTAACAAGCAAATGAATCAATAATGAAAATAATTGTTAGTTAGACATTATATATGTCCTTGATGAGTTTAGTGTAAAATTATATATCTCAATCATGTAGCTGAAGTCCATGTTCCATACTTTTTGGATGAAGTCAATTTTGGTGTTAAGTAATCTTTTGTGTTAAGTGCTAATTATCAATTGTTAGCATGTTAACACTGTTAATGAGAACATGTCAGCTAGCTAATGCGGTAGGTCGTGACTCTTTGTCCACAAAAATATCAATATATAAACACAAGTTTGTCAAGTATTTATTTACCAATTCGTAAAGTGGTCTGATCAAGTATGTTGAGGTAAGGGAGGTAGATGTTGCTCGGTTCAGGAGGAGAGACATGCGATTTCCCATCATCCAACACCACACTCTGACCAAAAATACACAGCTGAAAGAAATGGAGAAAAAGTACTAAATGCACTGATGTTGTATGTTTTGCCTACTTTTTGAACACTGACTAGAACAAGTATGTCTCTGTGTGACTACACATATATTCATGTGTTTGTGTACCTGCTTTTTCAGTAGTTTCTGTGTCAGTTTTAGGAGTGTGATGCTCTGTACTCCTCTGAGGTCACTGAGCAGCAAAGTGGCCCGAGCCAGAGTAACACTGGACCCTGGTGGCATGCATGTACGTCCTGACAGCATGGTCACAGCTTCCTACTCACATAGATTTACAGACAGAACAAAGCAGCACTGAAATTACTTTAAATCATTATCCAGTCCAACATTATATCATATCATGTGTTTGATGATCATATAACAGCTCTTGAGATCAAAATCACAATATCTAGACAGAACGCAGGTGAAAAAAAATACTGTAACAGCAATACGAATGATACATATATATTTAAAACAAAGTGATAAAAATGCATGATGCTCATATCCCTCATTTGCCCAGAATTCTGAATCTTGACACCAAATAATAAGGAAGCTTTTTGGCTGAAACCCTCGGTTCTAATGAAACAAGTTCTTGCCCTACAAACTGCTCAACTAAGTAAATTTACATCCT